TATGGTATATGGAGGGATGGAAACGAGTGCGTGGCGTCACTTTTTCGTACAGCTTGGAGCACCAATGGGTTAAATTTGTGTTTTGCCCAATGACGGCCCACCGAACCGAACTGATGCCTACACTCCTTGGTAAATTCTTTCCCACAGTTGGTCAATTTGTACCTGAATTAACCACAACTTTGCGTTAACTTTATGCTAATGATGGGCAAATAACCTTACCCAAAAGTCATTTTCCCAAAATTTTGTTTTACAGTGAAGCAGGGTGAATTCGCCGAACTTCTTGCACCGCTTACCCAATGTACTCACGGAATGCTCAACCACGAACATTTCGCTGATTTCCGAGGTCAGCTTGTTGGCTTTTTATACCTCGTCAACGGGGACCAACGGGGCCCACGTGATTCTGCACGTGCGCAGTACTTGCTTCACAACGCCAATTTCGTTCTCAGAGCCTTCCATTTTATTTTGTATCGTGAAATAAATACATGAACTCTCGTTAAACATGATCATGATTTTTTTCCTTTTCAAGATTATACGTTGCACATCCTTTGAGGGACTTGAGATTGAATAGAAGATGTATGGAATACGTACGTAAAAAACCTGCTGATTGTATCACCTTTTTGGTGTGGTTTATGCAATGGTACAGACATTGGTTACGGTGTTTGACTCATGTTCAATAGTTTGTGGGTTCGAACCCTGCCAGGAACATGGTGTTTGTGTCCTTGGGCAAGACACTTAACTACAATTGCCTCTCTCCACCCATGAGTATAAATGGGTACCTGTGAGGGTAGAGGACCGAATGTGCGCTGATATCGGCTTCCGCGTGGTCTCGTGGCCTGATGAACGGGGTATTGTAAAGCACTTTGAGGCTGTTGATATCAAACCCGCATGTCCACCTTAACATTGATGATGCGAGATGCACATTGCCTCTAATGTGCCCGACGACACGTTGATTAATTCAGCACCTTTTTTTTCCGAGCCGCAAATTGTATCCCGTACGTTCATCATTTCTGATAGTAAAAATACGTCGAAGCCTATATCTGTCCTCGAGATGTGGAAATACATCACATTTACTCTAGGAAATGACCGATTGTGTATCAGGCTCTGCCGTTAATCTCCCAATTTGAGCCGGGTCTTGACGAGTGAGTAATGATCACGGGAACAGCAGACAGCCCGTGGCCCGTGGTATAAACACGGGGGAAGGATAAGACAGTCATGAAGCGTGGTGCCCGTAAGGCGCCATTGGAAGAAAAAAATGGTCATTTTCCAAACGTCGGTTTCTGTTCCGGATTCGGGTTTACCTCTGGCTCCAGAATGACAACCTGTAGTTTTCCAACCGAGAGGTTATTCTGTTATTCATTTTGGCGGCACAGTGCATAGTAAATAGTTAATTTACACACTATATATTTCATTTATATGTTCTTAGTCACGTCATAGTCAGAAAGGGTGTTTTGTGGGAGGGGTAGGTGTTTAAAGGGAAGTCCACATAGACAGTTGTAGGTGTTTATGGGACGGGCACTGGGACATTTTTTGTGTTTGTGGGAGGAGCACAAGGACATTTGTAGGTGTTTGTGGGAGGTGCACAGTACATTTTTAGGTGTTTGTGGGAGAGGCACAAGTGCATTTTTGGTGTTTGTGGGAGGGCCACAAGGACATTTTGGGTGTTTGTGGGAGGGGCACAATGACATTTTGGGTGTTTGTGGGAGGGGCACAAGGACATTTTAAAGTGTTTTGGGGGCATAAGGACATCTTTTACGGTGCTTGTGGGAGGGGCACATTGACATTTTTGGGTGTTTGTGGGAGGAGCACAAGGACATTTTGCAATGTTTGTGGGAGGGGCACAAGGATATTTTTGTTGTCCTAATTCTCGATAAAATCCTGAAACAAAAATCATTATGTGACGCATTCATCATTGTTTGGGACCAGTCCGCATAAGCATAACGTTAATATGGAAACATGGCTTTTAATTGGGCCAGGACTGGTTTTATCCAGCTTAATTACCTAACTATAGCCCTGTTCCTCTTTCTATACACCTGTCAACCTAAGACACGTTTCTTTACTCACTGTTAACTTTACTCCCTTCGCCCGAGCCGAAACCCTTTAAGGTGGCGGAGTAAGTTATTTATAAGCACATGTCTCCTCTACTTTCTTTGGTAATAATGGACAAAGTTTGGCGAGGACTAAAACGGTCACAGCCCCGTCTGGCTGTGAGTGAGACGTGCTATAGCTACAAAGTGTCGTACACGCGTGTGAATGATCGTTTCCCCTTCCCGTGTCGTTTGTTGGAAACACATTGTGTTCAGGATGCTGTACCATACAGGCACAGCTCTGTCCACCCTAACTGATTATAACAACGATGATCCCACACAATTCGAGGTAAAGTTACATCTGTTTTTATTTCTTTCCAACCGTTCTGTAAATTAAAAGGTTATGGTTTTGCAATGGACTTTTATGAAGACCAGTTGTCTTATAGGTACAATGAACTGAATTCATCATTGTGCCGATGCGCACCTGTCTTAAAATGTCAAAGGCCACGGAGCTGCAATCGGCACAGAAACTCACTAAGAGCGGAACATTTTCTGTTGGCAAAATTGGTTACCAGCCAATGTTTCATCTGGTGTGTAATACTTTGGACTGGTTCCCGGCCGAATTATTTACTTGGCCAGATAATTTGCTATGGATTATGCCTTGCAGCTTCGTGAAATTGGGCCCAGATGCGAATGCAGCACCCATGTGCGAATAGAGTTCATTCATTATATTATATTACAAAAATAATGCTTCTTTTATTTACAAAGTTGCTCTACACTTAGACAAACTGCCATTTTTTATATTAACTAAATTGCATTTATTAAAATAAGCAATGGTTGACACGTCGTGACGTCGAAAAACAATAAAAACACTTACACATACAAGTAAATAAATTATCAACAATGTATCTAGTACACTGACTTCTAACTATGCATGATCATAGTGGGTAAGAATGGCACATCGGAACCAGACTTTTAATTCAAAAGCTCAATGACGATGACGTCAGGCGTGTTCCGAGTCACGTGATACAGCAACCATGTTTTTGAGTTCGGCAAGTCCGAAATTGAACACACGATTTTGAAAAAGTAAAATCGAACTCGAAAAAGTAGAAATCAAATTTGACTCGGAAATGTCTTATTAGCCGCTTGGTGGCAGCAAACATCCTTTGGAAAAGCAGTGGTGCGCATGCGTAAATGTGCGTCATATTTGTTTTGGTGCAGATCGATATCAACAGCATTGACGATGTATTCGACACTGCCGCGCGAATCTCTCAATTTACATGTTGCTTGAAATTGTTTGGTCGTGGTGTGGGCAGCGTATAGCTGTTCGTTTACTGGAAATAGGAGCAATCATTCATTCTCGAGTTCCTGGGTAATGAGTGAAAGTTTGGCGGGATGACGAAAATTAAAACCCCGTGACCGCGAGGTAAGCGCTAGACAATCGTCTGCATTCATGATGACGAAGAATGTATGCATGAATTAAGAGCTCAGCCGATTGTATTACCACCTTGATGATAATTGCTACAGACATTGTTTTTACTTAGAAGGGCACATGCGGGAAATTGGTCAAAAACAAGAATCATTTTCAGGTGCTGTTGCAGCTGTCTTGTCGGCTTCTAGGCCTACATTGTGACAAAGTTGTGACTAACTGTTGCCTGAAAAACGAGACGGCGAGGTCTCACTCTCACACAGGTGTTCTTGTTTTGTTTGTTTCAACGCACGCGGAGTATGTAAGGTCAGACGGTTGTGTTGAGTGTATACATTTGATTGACGCCAGGCGTCATCATGTGATATGTCACGGGCCTTGGCGGGAAATTAACCGTGCCAGTCTGGTAGTGCGGCTTCCCTCTTGCACCCATCAGTGCCGTTTCAGGTTTTGAAAGGGAAGTCGAGCACCACGTGACCAATACGGGTCCAGACTATGGGATTCAGAGCGAGTTATTCTTCTTCTTTTTTACCATTGCCGTAGTTCTTTCGTCATAACGTGTTGAAAAACTTTCCTGCCAAAAAAAACATTTGAAATGTGTACCGGGAAAAGTTGGCTACCTCTTCCGGGTGAGGGCGCTCTTTAATTAAACAAATTTCATAGTTAGCAATATATTTGTAGTTCGTGTATTATTGTACTTTTTGCAATGCAAGGGACATTCCAGTTGGAATGATTTGTTTTATATCCTTTGTAATTCCTTTGTCTATTCAAAATTTGCATCTGCACACGCGCGTAGGTTTCTCTATTAAAATAATTATTCCGCGTGTGGAATGATGAAATAAAATCAAAAAGTAGACACCCATACGCCACAATATGTAGAACGCGTAGATAAAAAATGCACACCGCCTTTTCCCGTGTTTACATGTCATTTAGAGAAAGTAGTATTACGTAGTCAATATATACATTATGACATGCGTATTCAAGTTTGTGTCGAGTGCCTTTCCATTTACATACGTATAAATGCATAAAAACATTCTTGAGAGATGTGATATGATATCCAGTTGGTTAGACTTGTTTCAAGACAACAAGTCTTATTATTTGGCGCCCGCAACAAAGCTCGCAACCGGAGTACACCTTTTGCGCACACACTGCCAGCGCACCGACCTATGAAAATGTAAACCTTATGTCGCGGTCATACGAGAAACTCTTTTGCGGCCGCAGGCTATTGGTCACGTCTAGAGGAATACCGAGGGTCAAGGTCGACCTCTGACCTCACATCGACACCAATCTTTCACACACCGACATCGTTGGAACACTTCCTCTCGGGTGATCTTAAGACTGCTAATCGATCTTTCCTGCGTGTCACCACTTTGTACTTTTCAAAAGACGTGGAAATTAGAGCGTCCTGATTGCTTGGATAATCTTGACATGTACTACACAAGTTATCTAGATCAGTAAATTCTGTGACAAGTAGTCATGGCGCATTTGAAATCAAACTTTTAATTGGACAAACCGGAGATAGTGACATCAACGTAATGGGAGACTTTTGCGACACTTGGTGGCAGCAAACAAACCGGTCCTTGGCTATTGTTTACGTCATTTTGAACATGCGCACATCATGAAAAGGACCGGTGTGTTTAATATACTACCACCATGCGTCTTAAAAGTCTCATTTGGAGGAGTTGACAACTGCCAGTAGGGGACTACATTATTATGGTGGTTGGCTTCGTTAATGACAAAATGCTGCTATATAGGTCAGTCACTTTCCTAAAGTACACATATTTTACTTCAATTTATTTATTTCAGAGTGTGTTTACTTTTTTCGTTGTATCCCACTAAACAGCACCCTTTTGCGTCTGTATCCCTGCAGTATCTGGAATATAATCTTGTGTTCATCACTCATGCGTGATGACCTAATATTTTTTGTGAAATCATCATCTGCTTTTAAACATTCTTGAACTATCTGTTTTCTTCTGACTTATGCAGTCTTTTGCTTTTATGTCTTTAAGCCTAATAATGTGTGTTCTCCTATTTCTGTCCGCGCTGAAACGGTTGCTCAACTGTAGCGCGCCATCGCCCCCAACCTTGTAATTACGCGTATCCGTAATACGTGCCGCATAGCATCGATTGAACCAAAATAGACCTTAATATTGGAAGATCGCTGACCCCGGCCGACCTTTGCGTTTATCTTACCCCAAACATGGAAATTTGAAGAGCTTAAGAAATTATAAGTAATTTCTCTTCCAGCTGGTTATAATTAAAAATACGTGGAAAACTCAGTAAAACTTCTTTCCTTCTCGTCAAAAAAGAATTATACGTTTAGGTTTGGTAAAAAAAAAAAGTAGTTTGACAGCGAAAATTTAATTGAGTTTACAGGATACAAAAGTTAGTAAAGTACACTTCCTGTGATATTTGAGGGTTTTAACAAGCCGGAAAATCGCGTTACTTAATGAGTTGAGATCTGAATTATTACGAAGAGAGTTATACGATTTTGTTTTATGGGTTACGTAGCTCAATAAAATGTTTTTTTGTATAGGCCTTTAGGGAATGAACAATCGGTTTCTCGTGTGCTATCAAATCATAAGGAGTAAAAAATGAAATTTGGAGAATCTTGTTCTGAAGTAAGTACAACATTTAGAAAACCTTGAAATTTCAGACAGCCATGCAAATTCAGAAACCGTGATAAAAAGTATTAGCTCCATCTCCGTTTAAATAAATGAAAATCGGAAATTGCAACTTTATTTGTCTTACGCCTATATATTCGTGAACACATTCTCTATGTTTAACCCGATGCAAAAAAATTGGCTAAAACCGTGACGTGCGCATTCGCAGTTGTGATACCAAACCGACTTATTTCATTGCTCTTTTACTTTTTGTCGCCTATCGCATGTCGCGTTTCTCTCTATCTAACTGACCACTCGGGCAGTACACCAACAGCAAAACACGGAAATGTGAACTTCCCTTTTTAATCAAGCTTAAAATATAGACCTACGCCAATCCGCCCATAAATTTACCTAAATCAAGAAATGCACGCGTGACAGCTTTAGTATTGGTCCGGTAAGATAAAACTTGTAATACATCACGAGAAAGGCGTGGCAGTGTAAATAAGAAAGAAAATCTGATATCGACTGGATTTGGCGAGGTCGGGCCCTGGACCGATCACGTCACTACATCAACCTCGATTTACGATGGGGATTTCTGCAATCGGTGATTCATACAGGCCTGTCCCAAATATAACTCGCTGAAAAGTGAGCTGTTCAGAATATGCCGGCCTTTGGATAAGCTAGGGATTATGTTTCGAAGATTATTATAGGCCTACTGCATGGTGAGTATGGAGTGACCTTTTTTGACTTGACTTAGGTGAAACAGGGGCCAAGCTGGCAATCATTGGCAACTTGAAGGGGTTAAGGGCAATGAACGCCATTTGGAACCATTGAAACAATCGGACAACCGAAATATTATGGAATATCCCACTTGATTGTGAGTGCGTTATAGGATCGAGCTTCCTGTCAAATTGCTTCTATAGAAATGTTGTCATTTTTTTACAAAATAGGAATTGCGTGGCGTGGCGTCAGACACCAAAATGGTAGCCTTGTTGCAGTCGCTTAGAGCAGACATTAACATTGTACCTCAAAACTGCTAGCATTTCATAAAGAGACACTATTTTTTGTACATTGTTCATAGGAGTACAATTTAGTTTGGTTACAAGCGGCTGTCGTACATTTCTTATTTAAATATGTGCCTTGAGAAACCAATACATTAATGGCTTTGCAAAGACTTTAATTTACAAAGATGTAAAACGACGAAAATACACTTTAAAAACCCGGGAAAGATTTTTATGGTGGCAGTAATATCCCAAAACTTCGCAAGGTTTTGAAAGGTTTATTTCATCCACATTTGGTCATCTCTGGGATAAACCAGTGTTGGCCTTTACAGCATCGGGTTTTAAAGAGCATTTCATCATTTCCACCTTTAAAGCATCTACAACATAATATTTCAAAGGAATGTTGAAGTCAAGGTACTCGTAAGTGAGCACAAGTCATCGCAAGTCCATCACAAGCCATTTAGTCCCAAGTCACATTAGCTATTCAAAAATAAACAAAATATGTATTTTCTTTGTTGCTTGTCATCCGTCCCTTGATATTTGTGAACTGACTTGTGGTATACTTGCGATTCTTCACAAGTACCATGTCTACAACACCGTTGAAGGCACATTTTTTTAATGGTTACTGACTACCGCTGACGAGTTTTCTTTCCCAAGTGGGGTTTAAGCCTGGGCTACACCATCGTGACGTAAATTTCGTTGCCCGCTTCCCTCGTGTTCGTCTCGGCCTCGCCGTTCTCGGAGTTCACCGACGAGAACACCCAGCTCCCGGTAGGCGGAAGGTCCGACTCCCGCAGGAGCTTCTTCCCGCCGAGTACGCTCTCCGGCCGGGCGTAGATGGGCTCCGTCGGCAAGGGTGGTAGCTTCTTCTGAGACAGATCCGGGCTGGGAACTCCCGGTCCCGCGGTGGACTTGTAGTTGATCAGCGTCGGCGTGGTGGACTGCTTGCCGAACGACGCTGACGCTAAGGTGAGATCCTTGTCTCCGCGGACTTTTGTCTTAGTCTGGTTTCGGCAGCAGCACTGGCACAGAACGGCGAAGGCTATGACTAGGATCACCAGGCTCATCCCAGCCTCGCACAGAGCCACAATGATCAGCGGGCTTAGAGTTGAAGAGGATGGGTCGGTCACTGGGGTCGCTGTACTCTCGGACGGCGAGGGGTCTTTGGTAGGCGCCGAAGATGTTGATGTTCCGTTTTTATCGGGGTCCTGGACGGGATTCCGAGATGTCGGTACCGTCAGTGACAGCGTGGCTCTCGGTGGATTGTCACCGGCCGGCGCCCGGTGGATGTCCGGGGTCTGCCCGGGGTTTGATGACGGTGGCACTGGCTTCAGCCTTCCGGTGCTGACTCGGCCTCGGAGAACACTCCACGCTGCCTGACCGATGACGGGCTTCGGCGCCGAGCGGTCTCGGCTCCCACCTGCCTCGTGCACCTGTTGTCCGGGGTGATCAGCCCTGCTTCTAGTGACTGCCGAATTCCTGACTCGGACCTCCATGTCCACCACGCGGTACCCACCTCCAGGATTAGGCACTTTGCAGGAAACCACTAACCCCTCATCCTGGGATGTTACCTGGGAGATAACTATCGTAATCCCATCGTGGCTGAGAGAGTACCGAGATACCGGTAGCTGGGGTTCCAGTTTCCATGAGGGTGTCCCCGGTACGGCGTCGCCGCGTCTGTGCCCCTCATTTGCGGGGCATGACAGGTGAGCGTCGCTTCCCGACACCAGGTCTACCGTGATACGGGTCCTGTTTCCGGCAGGTGGTAGCTCTATGAATGGTCCCATGGAGCAACTACGAGTAGCCTGTCCGGTCTGGCTCGTTTCATCCCTAAACTCGATCAAGCAAGTCATCCTCTCCATCCTCAATTCAGCCACACCCCTCTGAAACCTCAAATTATATGGCTCGGCTTGATTTGTCTCACTCTCAACTAAAACAACCCCATGAGAATTTCTCAGTTTTACGACCATACCTGGTTGGTTATTGAGCACCGTGCATCCAACCGGTGCTGGTTGGTCCAGGCTGGCCGCATCCGATAGCTGTCTAACCGTGGGTCGCAGGCAGCGAACGGATGGTCTCAAGACATCCACGACGGTCAGCATTGCCGGTTTGGACCGGGACCACCGCCTCTCTAGCTCCCTGAATTCCACAACGTAGCAGTGGTACACCCCGGCATCCTCCGGTCGCACGTTGTGGATAAAGAGGTTGAAATTCAAGTCCGGTTTGGACTGGCCGTCCTCCACCGTGATCCGAGACAACTTCTCCGGGTCGGTGGTCAGCAAGGACCGGCCACTGGTCTGGAAAGTGGCTTCCTTCATCCAGGCCACGGCTTGGTTGTCAGCCAGCGACGACACCTGACACTCCAGCTGGGCCGTACGGCCGGTTTGCACTGTCGTGTCTCGCGGCTCCACGACGAAACGTGGTAGACTATCCGTCGAGACCTGGGCTAATAGACCAGCTGCAAAAGTCGCAAACAGAGCGAGAACGAAGAGCAACGCAGCCATGACGACTCCAGTATCTCTGCAAAATTGTTGCGATGTTTTAAAATCGAACCTCTTTCAGTCGTGGTAGATAAATGCCATATTCATACCTGTCCAGTACATTTCGGCAAGTTGCATCTCTTTAACGTACTACGTACACTTCCCAGGTAAATTCGTATGTTCATGCGGTCACAGTTCCAACCAATACAAGTGCATTTTCAAAGAATCAAAATGATATAGTCCGTTCATGACATTGTTGCCTGCAAGTTATTTATTTCCTCGCATTTCCACAGTCCTCGCTCTAGACGTCCAGGGTAGAAATTATGTCCTTCGAGTGCAGTGCAAAGACACGAAAATGAGCTGCACAAAAACTGTGCAACAACCCACGCGTTTATGGTTTATGCAACTCCACGCGCGAAGTCGGCCTCCGAATGACTGCACAATGTCTCGAAGTGTAGTTCAAACTCTCTCTCTATGAAAAAGCCCCCAAGTCCGACTTCCGCTGGAGCAGACTTATGCAGAACTCTACAGGGGAATGAAGTTGTATGCCGCAGTACGAGTGAGACCCCTTTTTTCAGTCCCGGACGTGGCTGATGATGACATGTGTGAGTGAAGGGCTTATGTTTGGTACCGTCTCGTGAGGACACAATGATACAAATGTTGATGAGAAATTTCCCGGTGACTCTCTCTTCCTTTTTTCCCCCTTAAATTCTCCTTGCATGCAACTGCTGCCAGTGCGCGACTAGGGACCTCCTTCTCTTCACGTCTTAACGATCGAAATTATTATGACTGACAGGTGCTCATCCTACGACTGTTTCATGTATGTCCCACAATTTGTTTTCTCAACCACTTGTATATTAAAGACTTTCAGAAGCAGTGATTACACATTATGGCATGACACCTAATAGCTTGCTATTTCTGCTTTACTAACAAAAAAAGTGTCATCTTTGTTCATCGTAGGGATTAATCACATCTTTATTTCTCTATTTATAGCGCCAAGCCACACTGACAAATTGCCTGTGTTAATTTTACCAAAGAAAGGGTGAAAACTGGAACTACCCAAACTTGGTTGTTCTATAACCAATTGTTTGGGTTAGAAGTCCTGCTAAATTCAACCAAAACTTGTGGTCATTCAAGACCAAAAATAATTTGGTCTTGTATGACTACAACTTTTGGTTGAATTTAACATAAATTATAACCCAAACAATTGGTTATAGAACAACCCAAGTTTGGGTAGTTCCAGTTTTCACCCTTTCTTTGGTACAATTAACCCAGGCAATTTTTCAGTGCATGCAATGCAGCAAATTAGGTCAGGTTTTTTCCCCACACAATTTTCACAATATTGAACACAATCTTTACATTTCCTCAAAACTTACAAACCCTGCCCTGTGCTTGTTTTTCTAAAAAAAAATTTGAATTCGTACAAATGGCACCATTTCATAACCTTCTTTTAATCCCACATTCTATCCCAAAGGACAAATATTCATCACTCACTCACTCATGGATACAACTGAACCGTGTCACGATATGTCTGAAAGGCCCGGCACCAAAAGGTCATCGTGATAATTGTAATTTTGTACAACTAATCTTTTACTCGTCTCTTGTGGGGCAAGGAAATGGGTGTTCCCTCCTTAAACGTTAAAAGCGAAGACGTGGGGGCTAATTTGGTGAAAGTTATAATTAAATTTGGGGCGGGAAAAGATTGGTGGGATTAAAACTCATTAGGACAAGTCTTAGTCATGAAAGTTCAAGCGGCTGATTTGTCATAACTTAAACCGAGCAATTCCATGAAGTCCTTTCTTGCATAATTTCCTGAACAGCTTATAATTAACTTCCACGACTGGTAGCGATAGTGCTGTTTGTATACAGAAATACCCAACCGGTTCTTCAATTCCCCTGTCGCAGTGGAAATTAATTGAAATTACCTTCTTCTTCTTTTTTAAAAATACTATTGTATTACATTGTATAAGATTTATGCTAATTAGTACTTAGCACCTCTTATTCCTGACTATAGGGGCGCTATATTTTTTTTCTAAATTTCCCGTCCAGATACAACCTCGTCCCAATGGCATCGAGCAGTACTCCAGAGTTGCGCAACCCTGAACGCAAGGTTGTCTGCGCCATAAGGGAGATTACAAAGATTGGTGTCCATTTTCCTTCCAATAATATATTTATTTAGCGCCCCCTACCGAAAATAATGGCTGGCATAAGGAACAATAATGTAGGCCAACTTGATATACAAGCCCACATATGTTTTTTTGTCATTTGCGATTTAATTTTCATGCCAAATACACCATCTCAAATGTAAGATGAACAGTGTACATATACCATGAATATTAAACATGTAAAAATGCGCAAACATGTACATGTACGTATATTCACATGTAGATGTGTTCACCGATTTTGACTACGAAAACATTGTAGACTGCTATTTCTTGAGTTAGAAGTTCAGTTCTTGCAGGCATCAGTATAATACATGTACAATTATTGTATGGGTGTGTCAGAATGGCTCAGAAATTGTTTAAATCGGGACTTAGGGGGTAAAGAAGTCTGCTTAATATCGGAAGGTCAGTCTTTCATTGTTCTCCCCCGTTGTCTGGTGACCAGCGGGAAATGACCAATGATTATTACGGTCCGAGACCGGCTACCAAGCGCGCTGTGCCTGGTCCCGGCCCACACCGGCGTTTGCGTACAACTGGCCTGATTATCCTGCATCCGTAATAATTCGGTTTGTCAGGATTCTAACAAAAGCCCATTGCCCTCTCTGGATTGATGCGTTTCCTGTTTTGTAGCCCCTACTGGAGCCAATGATCACGAGGTTTTGATTGTGGTCATACAGAGGTCTTGTTTCCTGACTATTCATTCACCCAATTACCTGGATTGTTTCACCAGTTTGCGGACCATTATAATAAAATAGTCTGGTTCCGTTTTGCATCTTCAGACTGTAATTGTCTGCAATAAGATAAGCAGGAGGCTTGACACAATTTACGCGTGTGATCTGGTTACATAAGAACCATGACATTGCTATTACCTGCAATGTCTTGCTTTTGTAGGATTTAACACGAAGTAGGCCTGGGCCTATTACATATTTTTGAGCAAATGAGGCTGTAGCGTCAAACATTAAATAAAACATTCCCTTTACCACGTTTATGATAGCTTGATTTAGCAGCTTCACTTCAAAACAACAACAGATTGTTCAAATTTAATTCGAGAATCATACCGATATGAAAAAGCACGTCAAAAACCCGGGATTCTTTTATTTGTTTGTAGCACAAAATGGCGGCTTTAGGGATAGGACGCCCTCGCTCGTTGAACGTATATATACAATGTGATTGTTTGGCAGAATTCGATGCTGTGGTCACGTGATGTCAACCTCTGCCATGGTTCTCTTCTGCACTGCTTGTGTAATCTCTTGCGATATAAAAAGGTTAAAACTGTTGGCATAAAGTATTTTGTGTGGGTCAAATACTATGCCGAAGATGCACTGAGTTTGGGTACCCGGCGGTTGCTTGCAGTCGGCATGACGTCACAGCCTGCACATGGTGGCGGTTTTTTCCCTCACAATATTTTGTTACCGAAAAATTGATTCATTGCATTGCCTTAATTTTGCAAGTAAGTTACACAGCTGTTAAAGTACACTCATCGTGAATTTGCCTTGTTCTTTCTCGAAAATTAATCCGTATATTATGTTGACTGAGATGTTGACCGTAATTCCGAGTGACACGTCGGGAAGTGAAGGTACAACAGGAAAGGGGCCTGAATCGTTTCCCGGATCTGTCATTTTCTAGTACGGTCTCTCTTATAGCCTGACTCCGAGTGCGAGCAGCCGTGAATATGAGCATTAGCACCCATAGATATCAATGCTCGTGCACCGTACCCCTTCCCCTTCTTCCCTCGGGCGTAAATGTCCCGTTTCCTCTCTATCAGCTTCGATTAGCCCGACCGTTTCCTTGATTGTGTTTTCCGACGGTTTTTCCCCCATGAAAAAAAAAACATGTCCAACGCGCCAACAACATCGTCGACTGTACATCTCAATAATTGACCTTGAACGATCGCTCAGTTTTGTACTCTACTCTCTTCTTTCCTTTCAAACAAAACTTCACCATATTCCCTCACAATCGTTTCAGACAATCTGTTTCCCATGAAGATATTTCTTCTTTCTTCAGGATTTTGCAGTCTACAGCAAGGGTGTGTTTTCCACAGAGAGAGAAATATATCACGGAGCCTAATCGGTTTCCGATACAAATTGCCTAAAAATACCCCTCTAGTTAGGCCAATCGAGAGGTTTATGTCCCGGGCCCGCGGGCCGTGTGATTAGGCCACAACGGATGTTTTGCTGTACCTTATGGCAGTGAAGATGTGCCCGAAGATTCGCTGCTACTTCGTATCGGTTCTGGTTTATCTTGAGCTACCGGGGACTTGCCCGCGTTTTGCCGGTAATGCGCCTTGCTCACCTCTATCTTGCATGTGCTTGGTCAAGATAACGCAAAGTGTCGGTCTTTAGGGAAATTTCTTAAAGGAATCGTCTCCGGTGGAAAACTCTTTTGGATAAACTCCTAGGGTCTTTTAAAAACTTTTCAGAGGAAGGGGCATCCTGGTCTATGGTTTGAGGTGCAGGTAGAGTTTCAGAAGGTGGCAAGCAACTTATTAAATTTCGTTCTAGATCTCATTTGTCAAAAGGAGGCCCAACGGTCGACGGCAATTTACTACTTGTCAAAAAAACACAAGGCGTATATACCTATCTTGCCGTTGATGACCCATTGTACTTTCGAACGAAAGTTTTTATATTTTCAGCTAGCGACTGTTTCTTGATTAACCTTGAATAATACTGCTTATGACCTTCGTTTTACACTAAGTAAGTTTGCACGTTGTGTTGTATTGCATTTTGTATTCATTGTGTTGCACGCATTGAGTTGAAGTTACACCTATTTCGAGGAACGAACACATTTACAAAGACTCTCATTCAAGCTGAAAGGCCAGGTATGTTTTTGTTTTCTCGTCACATGCCGATGTTTTGACATGTTTCCCCCATCATGTGATAGCACGTGACGGAGGTACCCCAGCGGAAGCTCCCATTACCTTACGGGCCCACTGCCCATTTTGGACGGCGCGTATCACGCACACTCATCCGCTTCCAATTTTCACGTCGGGGTACAAAAATGTTCATCCCAAAATCAAAAGGTTATCGCATGGGCTGTTGTAACGGCTGGCTTCAGAGTATTTGACTGGGTTTAAGTCTGGGAGGATGTTTTGACTTTGGTGAAGGGTTGGAGCGTGATTTTGACTGATTCGCATGAGTTCATACCGGGCTAAGTTCGTTCATGGCACCGCCCCATTTGAGGTCATCTATCATTTTGGGTGGGTATATGGAAGGACGCTCAGTACCGTACATCCCGTGGGAGGGGTGCAACTCCCCGGCGAGATTATCCTCTTTTTGGGGGGTAAGAACATAATCTCAAGGGATTAGTCAGTTGCATGCAGCCCATGTGCTACTTCATGTATGTGATAATGTGCCATACCATGTGCTTTTTTTTTTAACATAGTGCCCCTCATTAAATTGTATTCCATCCCTCAAAATTTGGCGGAAAAAAAACAGCTTTTGAAGAAGTTTGAAACTATGGACTCAAATCACTTTGTCGTAACTCGAGCCAAATTTGCAGGGAGTGGGGGTGGGGGTACTTAGGGGAGGGCCAAATTGGTTTTATGGAGGGGGGGCACTCATGATTTTAAAACTAGAAAAAAGTGCCCCACCCCGGTAAATAAGCCGTAGTTTAATATGCCACTGTGCTTAAAGGTAGCATTCTGCCCTACATAACAGAATTCCTTCATCACTTTGAACCAAAGACATGGAAAGACATGAAACATAATTGCCAACTTGTGACGTCAGTTAGTACCAGGCCCGACACCCAACCCGCCGGGAGTAAAGGTCGCCCTCTAACGACGGGATGTCCGTAGCACGCATTGTACACCCGACCAGAATGCAAGACTGGCCACGAGCCTTCCTGTACAACGAACTCCAAAACAAAAAGGTCAGCCAGGATCATTCCCCGTTGAATGAACATCTCAATTGGTGACCTTTTGCGAGATTTAACGCTTACATCTGCATTTTATTTCATGAGTTCCTCTGAGACGAAACATTCCAAGAGCCTTGGAACTGAATGACTACGGTGGGTCCGAGGGGACGTCAAAGTTTGAAGATAATGTATTCCCCTTTTTGATGGCTGTTGCAGACTTGCAGTACTGTGTATAGTCGTTTCCGTCATAAGTCCTTACAAGTCAATCACAAGTCAATCACACGCCAATCACAAGTCAATCACAAATCAGTCACAAGTCAATCACGAGTCAATCACAAGTCAATCACAAGTCAATCACACGTCAAACACGAGTCAATTACAATTGAATCACAAGTCAATCACAAGTCAATCACAAATCAATCACAAGTTGATCACAATGTCAATTAAGTCAATCACATGTCAATCACAAGTCAGTCACATGTCAATCACAAGCCAATCACAAGCCTAAATCACAAGTCCAATCACAAATCCGGTCACAAGTCAATCACAAGTCATCCAGTCCCCAGTAACTCACAAGCTATTTCAGTGAACTGTGAATGCAACAATTTCGTTTGCTATTTCTGCTACAAGTCATGCGACTGCTTGTGAATTGACTTATGATTTACTTGTGACAGTGATGGACTTGATCAAAACACCGACAGAACTTCGTGTTCAGTTTACGCGACTGTTTTTGTACAATGCCACGTTTCCACGATAACCCGCCACGGATTTCCACGTAAACATGAGAGGCTTTCATGGAATTTAGCGTTTTCATGATGGGCTATCGCTGCATTCCGAGTTGTAAAGATATTCTATGCCAACTCTATGTTTCCAAGATATTTTATCTCAGTAACGTAGTAATTCGGATGGTCATATACGCTTCCGTACCACACCATCCCACCGAATGAAGTACAAGTGCAAAGAAAGTGAGCCCGAGAACCTGAGCTTGCAGTGTTGTGTGGGGGCGCTATTATTATTTTCATCGCAGAGAGCCTGTAAACTGTAAAAAACGAGCCTGTGGCTCGGGAACGAAGTTGGACGTCTTTATGATCCAATTTTCAATGCGCATCGAATTTAGCATAACAAAGACTACATACATCCACAAAGAAACCATTCGGTGTCCGCCCGCCAGATTTTATTGCCCCACTATCCAATATGGTGTCTGCAAGTGCGATATGCATATATGGGTTCCAACTCTGATTGGAACATGGCGTTGTGTTCTTAGGCAAGACACTTTACTACAATATCTTTTCAACTGAGAAAGGATCTTTAACCCATTACGCGTTCGGAATATTCAGTGGTAAAACTGACATGGCACTATGCCCCCACCCCCTCACCCCCAAATCCGGAGACTACGACAGTGCTGATAATGATCCCATAAGTATTTGCTAGTGTTGTTCAAAACAATTTATATTTGACCCAATAAAGTCACAGGTCAATTCACAGGTCAAATCGTCAAATCACAGGTCAATCTTGAGTCAGATATCATCTCGTACGTGGCGTAAATAGTTTGTTTGTTCGCACTGCATTTGGCCTCCCGATAAGCCATCATTGCCGTTGGGTACGGTGAAGGAGGATCTATAGGGAAACTGGGCCACACCCCCCCCCCCCCCCCCCAAAAAAAAAACCCACTTATTTTTCTAAGTTAAATAAACAAAACAACAAGAAAAGGTTGAGAAAGACTCTTTTGCCAAATGTAAGTTACTGACGAAATTATTATTGAAAAGCTTACTTGGTTTAACAGTATAATAAATTTCTTTTCCTAACATAATTGAACCGCGCAATTAAGAAATTATTTAATATTTCATTTTTCAAAACTGTTATCCAATAAAACTTGTCGATTTGTCACGGCAAATATAATACGTAGGAGATATTTTCTTTGATGAACGAAAGTATTCTTTTTAAAAGGAGATGGCAAAATAATTTTTTAAGTGGGAGAGCGACGTCACCACGAAGTTATTTAAAGATTGCGACATTTCGCCGAAGATAATAAACAAACAACTCGATTGTGAACCGGGTATACAAAGGAGTGGGGTTTTATTACATTGTGCAACGCAATATGGAAAGTTCTATTTCAACACGTCCTGCTTGCGCAATTAAATGACGTCATCGGGATTCCTGAATGTAAGACGCATGCGTCAAATTTGACCTTTGACATCATCAATGACCTTTGTGCAGCTATATTTTTTTACGCAGATGACAGCTCACACTGCGACAATAACAATGTCAAAAGCTGTGATTTTCTCCTCGAAAACAGCTCCAGTTTGATGACATTTCGGTTCAGGAGTGAAGGGCAATTGGTGTATAAATTCAGGGGAACTGCAGGGGTAGTTTTAAATTATGAAATCGGGGGACGAGTGGCGGGAACCGACGGAGAACGATTCTTCGGGGAACGACAACATGGCGGCCGCCGTGGCTTCGCTACAAAGGGAACACATGGAATACGACAGCACGATCACGAGCGGTGACGATGAGCAGCAGTCGGCGGGGGTAAGGCGACAATCGACGGGGGACATCCCGTATGAGGACCTGCCCAGGGCGCTTATTGCCACCAACATCCCGGACGATGTTTTCTGCGATGAAGTAAAAAAGGTAAGGTGAACGCAATTTCCAAAGACATATTCCTTTCTTCTTTAAGTTAAAGATCTTTATTGTCATGATGATTAGCTTGAGAAGCTCCAGTGCCGATGCTCATCGGGAACTCGACATGTAGAGCTGGAGGTCAATTAGCCCCATAATGTGGCCAGTTTACTGGACTGCCTCCGTAAACATAGGCCACACGTCCACCATCTTGGAATCTGACTCGCCGAAATTTTGAAAGTGATTTCCACATTGCGACTTCAAACCCAGTTCATTTATGCTTTAAAAATACACTTACCCTCTTAATAACAAAATTAGAACCTGCTGCCAGTGTCAGTTGCCCAGCTGCTGCGTAATTTACGACATTTTCTGGACCATTCTTGGCAACTTGGTCCAACCGTGGAGCTATCTCCATGGTCCAACTGAACAATGCCCTCGCGCAGATCGTTCACCTGTCAATCACGCGTGCAGGACGCACGCCGCAGGCCCAGTGGTAGTCCGGTTCCCAGACCAAAAGATTCTGACTATTCCTAGGATGGAATAGTCAGAATCTTTTGGTCTGGGAACCGGACTACCACTGGGCCTGCGGCGTGCGTCCTGCACGCGTGATTGACAGGTGAACGATCTGCGCGAGGGCATTGTTCAGTTGGACCATGGAGATAGCTCCACGGTTGGACCAAGTTGCCAAGAATGGTCCAGAAAATGTCGTAAATTACGCAGCAGCTGGGCAACTGACACTGGCAGCAGGTTCTAATTTTGTTATTAAGAGGGTAAGTGTATTTTTAAAGCATAAATGAACTGGGTTTGAAGTCGCAATGTGGAAATCACTTTCAAAATTTCGGCGAGTCAGATTCCAAGATGGTGGACGTGTGGCCTATGTTTACGGAGGCAGTCAAGTAAACTGGCCACATTATGGGGCTAGAGGTCAATGTACGTTGTTGCCAGCGGTAAAAAAAAATGGCTGCAAAATCATAATTCCCCCCAGACTGGGACCGCGAGTGCATAAAAACGTGCAAAATTACTAGGCTACTGATGTTTTTTTACTCACCATTTGGCTAATTAATGCCCACACAACACATACATCAAAATGCTATAGTTGCAAGCATGTCACCTGCAAAATTTGAGACCTTAAATCCAATTTTAAGGCAAGGTTTTGGCAGTTCAAAAACCACCCACGTCAATCTCCATGCTCTGGAAATGGGTGTGTGATTCCCAATGTATTCTGGGTAGGTGTAGGAAGCGGTCCTACTAAAGCGCGTCAACAAGCGTCAACAAGCGTCAACAAGTCTTAGTAGTCGTTAAGTGCGCGTCAACAAATTTTGTATAGGCCTTTGAACAATAAAAACAGCTTTATATGGTAGAAAAAGCAATAATGAACATCTTCTGCATATCAATTAAAGTTAAAATTATTTTAAAACTTGGTTTTTTTAACGCGAAATGTACACCGAATTTGTCGATAAAAGTTGGCCGCCATCTTGTTTATGTGTAGCTAGCCGTACTACGCATGCGTGAAGTGTAAAGAGCCATACTACGCATGCGCGAAGTCTACAGCGCCATCCAAACAAGATGGCGGCCTACTTTTATCGACAAATTCGCCGTACATTTCGCGTTCAAAAAACCAAGTTTTAAAATAATTTTAACTTTAATTGATATGCAGAAGATGTTCATTATTGCTTTTTCTACCATATAAAGCTGTTTTTATTGTTCAAAGGCCTATACAAAATTTGTTGACGCGCACTTAACGACTACTAAAACTTGTTGACGCTTGTTGACGCTTGTTGACGCGCTTTAGTAGGACCCGTAGGAAGAGCCTTGCAGCTTACTTGTTTTTTAATCAATGGCCAAATGAACATAGCGCCCTCTGCTAAAAAAATGAAACATTTTGCATTCACTCAGATCAACAAGAGGGCGCTGTTTTATCTACACGATGAAAATGTTATAGCTGAGGAGTCTTTTTGCACAATGCATTGCAGTACACATCAACGATGTTCATGTTGATGTTCATGTTGGATTTTGATAACTCTCTGCAAAATTAGAATTAAAAGCTGAATTTTTGGTGATGCAATGCTCACAACAGCAACTTTGGTAGGCAGAAGTATCGGGGATTATTGAAGAAACTGTAGTGAGTAAGAAGCTTGCACATTTGATTCACACTGGTTTTATTATGCAGCACAAAGTTTTGCACGATATGGATACCTTAAGTTTTGGGACTCTCATACACAGTATTGAGAGTCCCACATTTTCGGACTAAATTCCCCCCCCCCCCTATATTTTAGTAAAATTTGTTCTGTTTCAAGTCGATCCTTTGCTTTGTGATTTTTTTTATAATTTTAATATTTAAAAAGTTACTTAAGCTGTTCACGGAGTACTAGGCCCTACTAAGCTGAAAATTGTGTGGTTCAAGGATTTTAATGTTCCTCACAATCTTTTTGCAGAAAGCTTTTGAGGACCTTTTCTGCGCTTTTGGGGAGAACGTCCACTTTGTCTACCTTCCAAGTTTCCAGAGAGTCCGAGTGGGCTACGACACGCCCGAGCAAGTAGTCCACGCCCGAATAGGAATGCATCAAAAACAGATATGCGGACAGCAAATTAAACTATTCTTTTTACAGGTAAAACATTTACTGTAGGTTAAAAGTTATGTGGTACTCTGGTAGCCAGTTCATTTGGCTTGAAAATTGACACAAATGCAATGTCCATCGCAAGTCCATCGTAAGTCGATCACATGTCAATCACAAGTCCCAACACAAGTCCATCACAAGTCCATTCCAACTTTATCACAAGTCCATCGCAAGTTCATCACAAGTCCATCACAAGTCAATCACAAGTCCATCAAAAGTCTATCACAAATCTATCACAAGTCCATCAAAAGTCCATCACAAGTCCATTCCAACTTCATCACAAGTCTATTGCAAGTCCGTCACAAGTCCATCACTAGTTCATCACAAGTCCATCACCAGTCCATCATAAGTCAATCTAATGTCAATCACAAGTCTATTATAAGTCAATCTTATGTCAATCACAAGTCTATCATAAGTCAATCTTATGTCAATCACAAGTCCAACACAACTCCATCACAAATCTGTCACAAGAGTGAAGAGTCACAAGTCACAAGCTATTCAAATGAACTGTGATGACAGCATTCCTTGTGATGCCAGGGACAGGCTAAATTGTGACCGAACTTCTGACCGGAATTGTGATTAACTTATGACTGGACTTCCGATTGACTTGTTATTTACTTGTGACTGGACTTGTGAATTGGCTTGTGAGTAAGTAGTAACTGGATTTGTAATTGACTTGTGATTGACTTGTGATTTACTTGTGATGGACTTGTGACTAGACTCCTGATTGGTCTTGTGAGTTACTTGTGATCGGACTAGCGATTGACTTGTTATTTACTTGTGACTGCATTTGTAATTGACTTATGACTGAATTCGGGCGATTCACAATGCAGTGCGCCACCAAGAGTTTGCCATGGAGAGTCAACTTTTCAAGTTAACGGTCGACAAAACATGGCCCATTTGAATGAGTGTCAGTAGACACTTGAGCTAATTTGTTACAGATTGGGGCACAGCGTTCTGCCGCCTTACCAAAAATCCCCATATTGATACAAAGAAAAGAAAAGGGCAAACATACACTCGAATCATACGCTTACCAAACTACTGACCGGAAAAAACGAAAAATTTCAAATGTCCCGCGCTGCGAAGTTGTCGACCATCTCCCACAATGTACTGGGAAAAATGAACTCTCCGTGGCAAACTATTGGTGGCGCTCTGCATTGTGAATCGCCCACATTGTGATTGACTTGAGATTGACTTGTGATTGGACTTGTGATTGGGCTTGTGAGTTACTTGTAACCAGAATGAACAAGAGACAAAGTTCGTTTTCTTTCCTTTGCTTACAGCCAGTGAAATTCAACAGCAGTAGTTCCTCCCTGGAACCCCCAAAGCCAACAAAACAGTATCTCCTGTCGCCGCCCTGCTCACCCCCTGTGGGATGGGAACAGCCAAAGGAGTCCCATCCAGTCATCGACTACGACGTCCTGGCGGCGTTAGCCAACTTAGCACCTGGTGAGTCTGCTGTCATGTTCTCAGGTTACCAGTGAAATGGTTAGAGGGCCGATCATTTTCCTGGGGGGGAGGGGCAAAGGGGCTTGCCACATCATTGATAGGGCGGCAGTCAAGCGAAACTGCCCATTTTGAAACATTTTTGGTTATATTTTGTAATTTGTTCTCAGGGGAAGCGCACGAGCTTCACGCGGCCGACAACAACAAGCCGGGGATCTTCGTCCACCCCTGCGAAGACCCGCCCCCAAAGGGGCCCAAGATGAAGATCGAACACACACGCCGACCGGAGCCCAGCTAGTCAGGTTCCCTTACCCCCGGCGCTTTGCCACACGTATCAGGTTCTAATTGTTCAGTGATGATAGGAACAAGACCAAGCTGGTCCCAGAGCACACAGAAATATATTCAATGCATGCGGTTAACAGAATGGGGCGTATTTAGCCCATTCCGAGGTAATCCTATACAATAGCACTGCCAGGGGCTGTCTTCACCACTCTTTAAATAGTAGTCTCCTTCCAAGGCTGGATTTGATTTTATATTTTTCTCTTTTGCAGCCAGTCCCGTGACAATTGCGGTTGAGGTGAATCAAACCCAGTCTCGGCAATATTGGCAGCGCTACCCAGGTAATTCCAGGCTTGAATACAGCACGCATGAGGTATGCTCGGAATTTCCTGGGTAGCGCTGCTGATATTGCCAAGATTGCATTTGGTTCATCTTGTTGATCTCGATCGTCACAGACCGACTGTATACGGGAATGAAATCAAAATCCAGTTTTGGACAAAGACTATTCTCCAACCAGTATCAGTCAGTTGGTCATCGAGGTGCAAAGTGTACTATTGGCTGATATGTAATATAGCAAATATTACATATTAACCACCTTTCATCGTCCACAGTAAACCCACATCCTACACTGTATTAAGGCTTACGCCAATTTCAGGCTGGAGTCGTTTGAAACGACTGCAACAGCTTTTTCGCTTAAGTTCCTCCTATTTATTTGAAACGTTCAACTAATAATTCCATTCATTTAGCTCTCTGTGACACTGAATACAAGTACTAGTCTGAAACAGATTTGTGGCTGAAACTTCGTTACGATTGTTGCATTTGAAAAACATGAAGATCCCTGTAAAACCTACCGACTCTCACGGAGTTGTACTCGTTGGTGCCAGTTCGCGCGAGAATTTTGCTCAAAGATTTTTGGACGTGCACCATACCCTTACACCACCGCACCGTCGATTATGAGCAGTTTTGGGCTTAAACAGTAGTTCATAAGTCCATATCTCATGAGCAATTTACATGTGAAATTACCATGCACTTTTTAGTGATGCCTTTGTTGACAAATTGCACGTTACAATTTCCATGCTTTGCATTCATAACAACCTTCGCCAGCTTTCGTATTATATTTTTTTATATTTAAGGGTGGCACGGGTGGCTTGTGCGTAAAGCGCTCGCCTCTCACCAAGGTGACCATGGTTCGAATCCTGGCCGCGGATCGCATGTGAGTAGAGTTGTGCGTTGGTTCTCTCCTGTGCCACGAGGGTTTTTCTCCGGGCCCTCCGGTTTTCCTCCCTCCGGAAAAATCAAACACTTTCGATCTCAGGCTGTGCTCCGTGGTCTTATATGGGTCGATGTGGCCGGCAGCCAGAGGCGCCTTTACGTGCCAGCGGCCCGACCACGTTGTAGCCGCGTCCTTCGCAATTCAGCATCCCAGCTGCGAGTAAGGATGATTAGCCTCCCAAATTATTATTATTATTATATGCAAAATCATTTTTCCTTTCAGTGGTTCTCTCTGTACATAAATATGAACAGGTCTGTTGAGAACCAGTTATGCTACTGTACACGCTAGGGTTCAGCAGCTGAAGTTCAGCCCCAAATAGCTGACTAGAGTAGTATGGGCTCCGTACGCCAACAAAAGAGGGCGCATTTTCACCATTTTTGAGAGCTGCTTGGACAGGACACACAGCGTGTGCGTACTGTACTGTTCGCGCGTGAAGTACGCACGACTTCCTGAATGTGCCAAAGCTATTAGCCACGGCATTTTCGCGTGAGCGTCAGGCGTTGTCGGCGCACGAATACGTTCGAATTTAACTTTGAGATGGTTTCTCAAACTAATCCCCACCCCCAATAACTTTGGATCATTGGAAATACGCAGTGGATGGAACGAGAACCAGCCTAGGTCTCCCCCAACTCTCCTTTCCTGGCCATTGAAGGAGTACTTGTGCACGGAGCCCATAATCGTCAGTGTTGTAGTCGAGTCCATCACAAGTCCATCACATGTCCATCACATGTCCATCACATGCCCATCACATGTCCATCACATGTCCATCACATGTCCATCACATGTCCACCACAAGTCCACCACATGTCCACCACATGTCCACCACATGTCCACCACATGTCCACCACATGTCCACCACATGTCCACCACATGTCCACCACATGTCCACCACATGTCCATCACATGCCCATCACATGTCCATCACAAGTCCATCTCATGTTTATCACATGTCCATCACATGTCCATCACATGTCCATCACATGTCCGTTACATGTTCATCACATGTCCATCACAATTCCTCTAGTCCCAAGTCAAGTCACAGGCCATTCACATGAACTCTGATAAAGACATTTTTTTTTCATTGTTCATCCTCTGTGATAGACTTGACTACAATGCTTCCATGAATCGCGCATTCTAGTGAAGTTACTGGAAGTATTGTTTGCCATACTTCATCCTACAACTTGCTAAATGCTTAGACTTGTCTAGTCATTGCCTCAGAACCAGCCTACTGGATTTAAAGGTATAGTCCATCATTTGTAATTTGTGCATTTTGTTCGTTTGAAGCAAAAAAAGTGCTCAAAATCTAAAGAAGGGTGCTGAACAACTAACCTGATGAAGTTTTAGCCCAGCTTCAGCTGTACATTTCGAGGAAAACAACATTCTAGGATCTCAATTTCAAATCAAAAGTTGCTGAATCTGTTTTGAATTGGGCCTGAATTCAGCATCCGAGACACATTCTCACTGAGCCAATTTGCAGCCAAGCGATGTCGCGCACCGATCTGACGAATTAAAGCAACCGCGCGTGTGTGTGCGTCATGTCAATGCTTGCGCGCGCTTCGCCGAATAAAAAAAAAACTACTAACGGAAATTTCCAACGGTGCTTCTTAAGACGCACCGTTGGAAAGGCCTTCTTTTGTTGATTTCTTCAAAATGACAGCTTGCCAGGAAGAATAATTTCACAGGGAGTTTAGTCCCCTTAAGTAGTATGTTTTTCAACAATAATTACACCAGTTACTTTTTGGATAGCTGCAAATGATGGACTCTGGCTTTAAGCTGATTTCCCGGTTAAATGTTTTAACCACAGTGAAAAGCAACGTAGCACGTTTTTCACTTTTCCCAATTCACGCCTCAAACTTAACGCTAATGTAAATGTCACGCTATGTTGAATCGTGTATCAGTTGCAAATCTTCGCAGCACCTTTTCGTTTTTGCCTTCAAGTTTAGCGACAATTCACGACGGAAGTCGTTTTCAAGTCTTCAAAGTTCTAACATCCCATCCGTCCTTAGTGCGTCACTAATTATAATTATTATTCTGTCAAAAAAAAAACCACCTGAAATAAGAATTTTTTTAAAATTCAAATTCGATGTTCTAGTGGTGGTTCTACGAGAATTCTGAGACGATATCCTTGTGTTTTTTTAATATACAGTTGATGTCCAGAAAGTTGCATTTTTTATTTCCCTAGTCAATGTGGTTTTGTCCGAAAAATCACCCCGTGTATAGATTTTAGAATTCCTGTATATTGAGATATTTAAACACCCTTACCCAACTTGTGCCATATAAACCCACTCTCCGATGTGTGTGGTAGCGAACTTTTTATTTTGATAACTTTTACATTTTGTGTTTGTCTGTTATTAAGAAAAGACAAAATCTGTTTAGCACGGTTTTAAATATGTATGTGCTTTCATTGTCTTGTCTTGTTAGTAGCTGTATGTTGTATGGACAGGCTCTAGGATTTACTGGCTTGCAAAGTATTTGAAAACATTGTATTAAGATACAGGGACAACCTCATTCCCAGGGTGTCGAGCAGTACGGGCCCACCACTACCTGCTCTCTCGCCCTGGTATTGGATCATTTGCGTATTCACAAATTTTGGAATACATATGCAAATTAGGAATAGTCTGGTGCCTGCCTGTGCTTTACCTTAGCATTCGTTTTTACATGTGGCGTCTGGGGTAAAAACAGAATCAATTTGTCGCGGCGTGAGGTACGAAAACACATTTTTTTTTAAAGTTAAAATGTTACAATCTTATCCAGCCAATATGCAGTATCACATTTGGAATTAATATGAGCAAAATGTATAGGAAAGGAGTATTGTTGAGAAGGCATGGAGGTTACAATTAACGTGAAAACACTGAATGCACGTTGGAAATAACAATACCAAGTACACCATAAATCCATTACCAGCCAATTGCGGTATCGAAACAGGATACGGGAAGAAAGTTTCCTATCCAGGGCTTACTATTGAAAACAAGGTTGAAAACAAAGTAAGCCCTGGGGACGAGGTTGGTAAAGGGACGGCTGTAGGCTGGCTCTCTGGGACCAGCACTCATTTTTTAACTCTGTATCTTTAGAAGTGCAACCTCACATATGTTATACTTTCATTCTTTTGCTTTATAGCCAGTAAGACATCTGCACTTGAAATCCAGAGGTTATGGGTTAGAATCTCTCCTCAGAATTTTCTTTCAGAAACGTTTCAAAAGCAAAAACTTACAAAAACTTACAAAAAAACTTACAAAGTTACAAAAAATCAATTCAGCAACACCTTATTTTGATAACATTTGCATTCATTCTCCTACTGAAGCGCGTTTAAACAACTAAAGACCAAAATTGTACTACTGTTTACTGAAGCATGTGAAATCACTATGTCTTGTTTGTGTAAAAAAAAAATAAAGAGGAGGTGGATGTTTTTTTATCTTTTACTAAACTCACTCAGAACACTTTATTCTTTACACTTACTTGATAATTGAGGCAGGAGCTCAATCTTTAAATGATTTCTTTCACTTTTTTATTTGGGGAACATGTCAGTAATTTTCCTCGTCACCAAACACCAAAGCACAGAAATGTTCACTGTGGTCCAGAAGTATTAGAACACCGATTTTTTTGTGTTTTTTGAGATATGCAGATGAGTTTATGATAATTTTTTCCAGCTATATATACCACTTGTCCACTTATATTTTTGGCTTTGTCATATAGACGAATTGGGCACATGGTCACTGTACACACATGAGGCCCTCTTTAATGGTGGAAGCATTGAACTAGCTATTGTACAAAGCATTTGCTCCATGACGGATTATCTGAACAATAGCTAGCACAATGCGTTCTCCATTGAAGGGGGCCATCGTGATAGAAGTGCAGCATGCCCGGATTGGTCAATACACAAAGGGTTAAAAGTGGACACAAAGTTGGTTTGAATTTTTTTACTTGTTCACTAATAGTCAACTTCTTTCACAAATTTATAATATAATTTAGGTTTATCTTAAAAGTAGGATAAACAGTGGCAAGATAAATCATGATTTCACCCATAAACATGATAATCTTATGGTGTTATCAAATGTTATTTTTATTTGAAGGAACGATGAACAGTTTGGACTAGCCACCCTTTTGAAAAATCCGAAAACAATAATAAACAAAATGTGGGAAAAATCAACTTCCAATTTTTTAAGCAAGCTTTAAAACCAGGGCACAATTTCATGGTGCTTCTGAAATCATTACTTAAAAAATATATAAACAAAACAAAACAAATTAGCAGAATATTTATACAAGGAAAAATCTGATATGAAGTACTCATAGGTAACATACACCACATTGCAATATGGTTTGAACCTATTTTTGGCTAAGCAACTATGTTC